CGACGAACAGGACCACGACGACGATCATACCTTTCACTGCCGTCCACGCGTCCCACTGCAGCCGAGTACGCCGACGCCCTTACCCAGCCAGCTGTCCAGGGGGGACTTTCTGCCACGCCCGCCTACGTCAGCATGTATATCGACGGCCCGACAGCTATTCCACGACTACTGGCCCAACCGAACGACGTTCAACCAGTGGGGGAGCACATCGGCGCCCCTGAGCTCCATGACATTGAGACGGCAGCGGAGGAGCTCGACCACCTGCAGAAACGACTGTGGAGGGAGAAACGGAGGCGCTACAACCCACCATGGGCATGGCCCATCGAACTCACCACCATGCTCCTCGCCCCACAATATCTGACGCGCCCTGGCGTTCAACGGGCAGGGATTGGACACGACACCGCCGACAATCAATACGCGGGCCCGCTCGCGGAGCAGGTCCACCAACCTAGTCGAAGGAAGCTCGTGATCGACTACGACGTCAGCTCCACCATCATCCAGACTTTCGTCGCATTACTCGCTCATGTCCACCGGCGTGGCTCTCTGCCTGCCCAGGCGTTCACCAGCCAGGCGGTCGCCATTTTGGGAAAAAAAAATTGAAAAACCCTACTGGCAACGTGATTCAGGACATCCATGCATGCGTACGTTTACTTCACTGTTTCGACCATTTTTGGCGATTATATTTCAGAATAGGACTCACGCAGTATGGAACCCAATTCGACCCACCGCCGTGGGCCTATGGAGGCATTCATTCTCGCCGACGCGAATCACTCATGCTCATTGCTAAACTATTGATATGGAAGATGGGATCCGCCAGAATGTCTTTTCTCGCTAAGTCGTGCGACATGCGGAATGCATTCGCGACGGGCTCCCACGAGCGACTGGTTGCCGCCCACGCGCCCCGATGCGAAGATGAGCATTTTCATCCCCTCCTTGAGCAGCACCGACACGAGGCAGTAGCATTTCTGCAGGCGTCCGGCGCTACCTTGGCTCTTCGACCAGGGGCGGGAGGGAGGATGGGCGACTCAAACGAGCCTGAACTTTTTATGGGATCATTTTATCCATTAGTGAAGCAGTGGTCCCAGGAGATGGCGCAGGTCCAGGGAAACCCGTTCCAGGTACACTGCCTGTTTACTGGTGAAGAGTTTGATGCGCATCTTGGAGCTTTCATTGGCGATCTAGTCAAGATCCCCTTGGTGCCAGACGGCGCGGCCCTCCAGGCGCTGCAGATTAATAAGATCGACAACAACGCGCTCCCCCAGGCCCTCGAGGCTGGCGGCTACGCACAGAACATCAGTAAGCAGGACACCCTGGTCTCACTGGGCACCCATGGGGCTACGAAGGAGGCCGAACGGAATATTTCTGGGAACGCAGTCCAGGACTTGATTCATCTCGAAGGATAGGTACATGTTGCCAACAGTAATCGTCGTGAAGTCGAGGCCCGCATCCAATCAGGTAAAATCGGGTGGAGCCGTCTGGGCGACTACTGGTACCCTGGAGGCCCTTGGAAGGCCAAACGGCTCGCGTTCGTGTCCAACGTCGCGGGGGGGGTGTGGTCTGGCCTCGAAAGCTACGTGTTGCCCGCTAGAGAGCTCCACAGATTCGACAGTTCGTTGGCTCGCAAACTACGATCAATGATGAGAGGAGCAGCACATCAGGAGGATGAGCACGACAATCATCGATCTATGTCTACCCGCCAAGTGTTTATTGAATGGCAAGTTGCACCGACTGCCATCGAGCTACTCGTGCGCAGGCTCAGCTGGTGGCAGAGCATAATCCGATCGCGCACGCATCATGGCCACTTTCTCGCTTCTTTTTTTCGGAAGATGCAAGTTCGAGCAGCAGGCGGCCATAAGCAACCGCCCCGCCAGCGCTGGAACCCTCAATTCGCAGGGCGAGATCTCCGCAGACCCGAACGTGCACCCGTGGGTCACACAGCTCGCGGACGATCTGCTGTGCCTGTCGTCCCACACGATCGGCGAGAGCTTTCAGGAAGCGTGGCAGCCTCGCGTTGTAAAGCACCTGTGGGATGACGAGTGCGTTCGAGAGGCCTTCTTAAACTGTGACGTTCGGGCTCTCAGGGCTTCTTACTGGACGACTCAGTGAGGCCAGCGTGATCACCTCCTCTCTCCCCTCGGCGGCAACATACGACGAGACGGACACTGACGACGAGACGAACCGCCCCTTCGTGTGCAACATCGAGTCATGCCAGAAACGGTTCGGGACGCTCAAACAGCTCGTCACACACCAAACTAAAGCTAAGAGCCTAGGACACGGTATGTCAGCGGTACTGACTACCCTACAGATCGACAACAAATGTATTGTGTGCCAAACTACGTACCCAAATCAAGATCATGCAGTTAGACACCTACGACGGGCATGGCAAGCAGGCATATGCATTCCAGAACTTACTCATCATGTATATCCCTGGATACCAGCCACATGTACTACATGCCCTCTACGGGACTACGCTCTGGATCATGCATGCCAACAGGAATATCATGGTCCCACCGTCGCCATCGGGTTCCATGCTCAAGCCTGTCGTCAGAAGGCTTACCGCGCGCTCGGCCACTCCGAGTGCTCCCCCGCCGCGCCCCGCGCCATCCGGCTGCCGCCCATCGCCTGCCATACAGGACACCCCTGCGGTACGCGCTGCCATTCGTCAGCCGGTGGAACGCATCGTGGACAGCGACCCTCGCAGCAGACCCAGACGCCGACCACTCCGACGGCTACGAGGGGCACAGCGCCCAGCAGCAGCAGATGCAACATCTGCGCGGCCAATTCGAGTGGCTACTGTCTCCTCTACGCCTACTCTTCCTGCACTTCCTCATGGACCAGGCGATGACGCCCAAGCCGAGAGCGCCGTGGCGACTCCCGCTGGACTCCTCCCTGGGCTCGAAGGGCTCTGGCACCGCCTCCAGCGCCGCGCCAGGCCAGAAGGCGACAAAGGCCTCACGTCCGCCAGGCCCGCCGCCGCCGTCGCAGGGGCGACCCCGATCGCCACGGACGCCCAACAAGGTGGACGAGGGAGACACCGGCGAGGACAAGAAGCTGCCGCTCCAGACGACGCACGAGACCAGGCTGAAGCACAGCATCAGCACGGACATATACACGATGAGCAACGAGCACCCAGTGATCACAGCCATCACGCAGGAGCTCGAGGGCTACAAGCACACCCTGGACTCCCTCAAAAAGAGCGGCACCCTAGAGGACAAGAAACGCATGCAGGAGATAGGGTCGCCAGCTCCTGCCCTCGCGCTGGCGGCCTTGGAAGGACTGCACAAGTGCGACGTGGGCGGCACTATGAAGAAAGCCATTCGGAACTACCTGCCCCGAGCGGACCCCGAGGATATCGAGGCGGAGGCGGAGATCAGCAAGGAAGATCTCCTCGACGTCATCTCCATTGTGCGTCTGGAGAAGTGCCACGACGACACCGAGACGAAGCTGGCGATCGGCGCGCCCACGTGGGGGGGCCGAGACCTGATCAACCGCGCTATCGCGGCCGAGGGCCAGGCGGTCCACCACAGGGGCGTGGCCGAGGGACACGCGGACTGGCTCGAGGAGGAGGTAGACCACGGGACGAAGACGCCCGAGTAGAGAACCCGCTCCTTTGCCAGAGCGAGCCTGCACGGCACAATGCAAGCACAAACGGAGAGGACACAATCCAGCGCCGTGTTATTTTTGTCCGAGGCGAAGCCCTCCCTGCTAGCAGTAGCGCGGTCACGGTCACGTACCCTCCCGCTTCCGACGTGCCTCCACCTCTCCCCACTGCCGTGCCTGCACAAGCAGAGGAGCTACGTGAGGTGGAGGCCCCACCTGAGTTCGATACAATCGCCGAGGATGAAGCGGCCGAATACCTTTTCAGCTAGCATCCGAGTCGTTGCTTGGCACGCGCAGCGCAGGAAGCCCCTCTGCGCAGCACCCTGGCAGCGTGGCCCACGCGGGGCAGTACGAGACAGTTGGCTCTCTGCGACGGATCATTGAGTATGGATTCGCTGTACGCCACATCTTACCATCAGATGTTGGTCCTGGCGTCGAGGGAAAAACATTATTATGGTTAGCATCATCATCATCACCACCACCATCATCATCATCATCAGCAGCAGCATCATCATCATCGTTATTATCATCATCAGCAGCATCATCATCATCATCATCATCATCACCATCCGCAGCATCGCCATCAGCATCATCAACATCATCATCAGCATCATCATCCAGCTCCTCCGCCTCCTTCGCCTCCCCCTCGCCCTCCTCGTCCGTCTCCTCCTCGTCCTGCTCCCGCTCGTTCACCTCCTCCTCCTCCTCCTCCTCCTCCTCCTCATCATCATCATCATCATCAACATCATCCTCCGCTTCCGCCTCCCGCTCCCCCTCCTCCGAACCCTCCTCCTCCTGTTTTTCCGCCTCCTCCTCCTCCGCCTCATCCTCATCATGATCAGCATCATCATTAACAGCATCATCAGCATCCTAACATCATCGTCAACATCATCGTCATCACCATCATCATGAACGCCATCATCATCACCATCAGCATCATCATCATCATCGTCACCATTATCATCATCGTCATCGTCACCATCTTCATCATCACCATCATCTTCATCAGCCTCATCATCATCGTCCTCAGCATCATCATCACCACCACCACCAGCACCATCATCAGCATCAGTATCATCATAATCAGCATCAACCTCATCATCGTCTTCATCATCACCATCATCAGCATCATCATCAGCATCACCATTATCCTCATCCGTTGCCATTTTGGCTCAAGGCTTCAGATGCTGGGCAGTCGGAGGGGATTTCTGACTGAAGCTTCCGAGCTCGCAACGGCCATAAAGCGCTGCGAGCGTGCAAGGAATTGGGGCGCAGCGCTGCACGTGTTCCGGGAGGCGTGCCAGCTGCGTGTGGACGTCAACCAGCGCCACTATAGTGCGATCGTCAGCGCATTCGGGAAAGGCAAGGGATGGCTACGGGCTCTGTCACTTCTCAGCGAAATGACGGAAACGACGTTGGAACACGACGTCATCAGCTACAGCGCCGGGGTCAGCGCCTGCGAGAAGGGCGAGCAGTGGCAGCGAGCTCTTGCGCTGCTCAAAGAGATGCGGGAGGCAACGTTGGAGCCCAACGTCATCAGCTACAGCGCTGGGATGAGCGCGTGCGAGAAGGGTGAGCAGTGGCAGCGGGCTCTTGCACTGCTATGCGAGATGCGGGAGGCAACGTTGGAGCCCAACGTCATCAGCTACAGCGCTGGGATCAGCGCGTGCCAGAAGGGTGATCAGTGGAATTCAGCCCTGATGCTGCTGAGCGAGTTGTGGGAGATGAAGTTGGAGCCAGACGCTTTCAGCTACGGCGCTGGGATCAGCGCGTGCGAGAAAGGCGAGCAGTGGCCGCGGGCTCTTGCATTGCTGAGCGAGATGAGGGAGTCGAAGTTGGAGCCCGACATCATCAGCTACAACGCTATGATCAGCGCTTCTGGGAAAAGCAAGCAGTGGCAGCAGGCTGTGTCGCTGGTCAGCGAGATTTGTGATGTGAAACTGGAGCCCGACATCATTAGCTACAATGCTGGGGTCAGCGCGTGTGACGAGCAATGGCAGTGGGCTCTTGCGTTGCTCAGCGAAATGTCGGAGGCAACGTTGGAACCCAACGTCATCAGCTACAGCGCTGGGATCAGCGCGTGCGAGAAAGGCAGACAGTGGCAGCGGGCTCTAGAGCTGTTGAAAGACGTGTGGGAAGCGAAGTTGAAGCCCAACATCATCACCTACAGTGCTGGGATCAGCGCGTGCGAGAAAGGCGGGCAATGGCAGCGCGCCCTGTCGCTGCTTCGCGAGATGCGAGGGCTAAACGTTGAGCCGAACGTCGTCAGCTACAACGCGGGAATCAGCTCGTGCGAGAAATGCGGGCAGTGGCAGCGGGCGCTGTCCCTTCTCAGCGGGATGACGGAGAAACAGTTGCAGCCCAACATCATCAGCTACAGCTCTGGCATCAGCGCTTGCGAGACTGGCGGGCAGTGGCAGCGGGCTCTTTCGCTGTTGGGCGAGATGGGGGACGTGAAAATGGAGCCCAGCCTCATCAGCTACAGCGCTGGGATCAGCGCGTGCGGGACAGGCATGCAGTGGCAGCGGGCTCTGTCGCTGCTGAGCGAGATGTGGGAGGTGAAGCTGGAGCCCGAGGTCATCTATACTACAATGCCAGTCGCAGCGCGTGCGAGGTGACTGGCAGTGGCTCGGGGCCGCTCCCGGCGCTCCCGGGGCCCTGGTCCGTCGCCGGCGTTCCTGGAACCGTTGCGGCGGTCCCGCAAGGGCCCTGGGCCGCCCATGACGTGTTCACGAGAGCTCCGAGCGAGCCCCAAACTGGCCCCCCCAGGGTTCCTTAAGGAGCCGAGTGGTCCCGGAGGCACTCCAGACGACTCCGAGGACGCCCCCAGGAGCCAAACAAACATGGATTTTCCATTAGTTTTTGAAGGCTTTTTCGGTACGGGTTTTTTCGAGCACGAATAGCTGAAGAGAACCCTGGAGGCCCCCACGACGCCCCCACGAGGGCCCCCACGAGAGCCCCAAGACGACGCCAGAGAGCCCTGAAATGGCCTCACAGAACCCCAAGACGACCCCAAGAGAGCTCCGAGGGGGCCCCAAGAGGCTCCCAAGACGGCCTCAGGCAGCCTCAAGAGAGCTCCAAGACGGTCCAAGGCCTCCCAGACGCCCCGTGACGGCCCAAAAAGGCCCCACAACGTCCCAAAACGCTCCCAGAGCAGCAAAAAAAAGCCTCAGAATGGCCCGAAAAAGACCCCCACAAGGACCACCAAGCAGGCCCAGAGACGCCCACTAAAAGAGCGATCGGTGAAGTACGAAGCTCTCCTCACCAAGGCTTTCAAAGAGCGAGACGCAGCGTAGAGAGCTCTCCCAGGCACAGCTCCCAAGAGCGAGCGGTGACGTCGGGACACCCTTCCGACGTCTCACACAGGAGCACGCACGCATAGCACGCAAGCACAATAGATTTCCTGGGCTGTCCCCCGGAAGAGGCTCGGGGGGACAGCCCGGCAACGGCCCCAGAGGCGTCCAAAACAACTTCAAGAGAAAAGGCCCCCAGGAGGCCGCAAGACGGCCCAAGAGGGCCCCAAGAGGCCCCTAGGAGGCCGCAAGACAGCCAACGAGGCCCCAGCAGGCCCCCAGGAGCTCGAAAAGAAACCCCGAGAGAACTACTAGCCGTTCCCAAGGAGACGGCAGCGCCCGCCATCAGGCTTCGAAGAGGCAACCGGAAAAATGTCACCAGAGCCCTCCGGGTGACTTTTTTCAAGGCCCCAGGTGCTTTCAAAATTGACAAGCGGCGAGACGTACACCGCAGATCCATCATAGCCGTCTGTGATGCTCCGAAGGCTGTCTAGGCGGAGGTAGAGCGGAAGGCGGACGAAGAGAAGGAAGCGGTCCAAGAGGGCCTCCGAGACGGCCCAAGACCGCTCGAAGACGCTCCAGACGAGCCGCGGCAAACGAAATCATTGATTTTTCTATGGCTTCTGAAAGTTTTCCACCTTCTCGCCAGTTCGAGCGAAGACAGGCCCAAGACGGCCTTTTCGAGCCAAGACTGGCCCAAGATGACGCGGATGAAGTCCACGGGTTCGCCCTAGTCTCTACTACATTGCAGGGCCCAGTGCGTGCCAGAAGGGCGCAGGCCCCAATGCACCGAAACCGCCCCGGGCTGGCCCCGGGCCGCCCCGGGCCGCCCAGGCAGGCTCCAGGACACGCCGAGAGGGCCCCCCGAAGCCCCCAAGACGGCCCCGGAGAGCCCCGGCAGGCTTAAAGATGGGCCCAAGACGCCCGAGATTCGCCCCAGGCGGCCCAAGAGGCGTCCAAGACGCCCGAAGAGGCCTCCCAAGAGGCCTCCCAAGAGGGCCTCGAGCGACAGGAATCGTCGATTTCTATTGTGTTTTTCGATGTTTTCGGCCTCCTCGCCTCTTCGGCTTCCCGACGTTCCAAGACGGCCCAAGAAGTCCCCCCGACCGCTCCAAGACGGCCAAAGAGGACCCCAAGAGAGCCCCAAGACGGGCCAGGAGGGCCCCAAGACGGTCCCAAGGCGCCCCAGGACGGCCCCAGGACGGCCCAGGAGGCGCCCAAGACGGCCCAAGAGGCACCCAAGACGGCCCCAGGAGCGACCCAAGACGGCCCAAGACAGCCCAAGAGGCGCCGAGGCGGGCCTCAGACGGCCCCAAGACGGCCCAAGAGGCACCCAAGACGGCCCGAGAGGGCCCTAAGAGCCCCCCCGGGCGGCCCAAAAGAAGGCCGAAGAGGCTCCGAAACGGCCCCCACGAAGCCTTCAGTGGCTTCAGAATTCCCTCCAGGAGCGGGGTAGCGGACGAGAGGCGGCAGGCATATCGCAGGCAAAAACGCCCCAAGAGATCCCCAAACGGCCCCCACGAAGCCCTAAGTGGCCTCAGAATTGCTTCCAGGAGGGGGGGAGCGGACGAGAGGCGACCGGCATATCGAAGGCACAAAAGAACAATGTTGGACGCTCTGAGGGCCTTCGATGTTTCTTTGTTGGGGAGAGTCGTCGTAGGATCGACGATTGCCGACCGAGGGCATGGAGAATCCAGCGAAAGAGGAGAAGACCCCTCGCCACGTCGAGCTGATGTCGTGGACGGAGTCCACAGGTCTGCCCTAGTCAACTACATTGCTGGGATCAGCGCGTGCGAGAAAGGCAGGCAATGGCAGTGGGCTCTTGCATTGCTCAGCCACGTGTGGGAGGCGAAGTTCGAAGCCAATGCCATCTCTCCTACATGGCGGGTAGCAGCGCGTGCCGGAAGGAAAAAACTCGAATATCAGCGCGCTCCCGGGCTGCATTCACGCCCACAAGATCGCCCCAGGACGCCTCAGGAGCGCCCCATTGAGGCGCCCACGACGGCCCAAGAGTCGCCCAAGGCAGCCAGCCCCAAAGAGCGGCCAAAGACAACCCAAGACGGCCCCAAGACGGCCCCAAGCCTGCCTGCCCCAGAGGCGCCCAAGACGGCCTCAGACGGCCCCAAGACGGCCCAAGGGGCACCCAAGACGGCCCACGAGGGCCCCAAGAGGCCCCCAGGAGGCCGCAAGACGGTCCAAGGGGGGCCCCCAAAGGCCCCCAGGATGCCGAAAAGAAACCCCGAGAGGCCCCCAAACGGTTCCCAAGGAGAAGGAAGCGCCCGCCATCAGTGGCCGCATAGGGAGCGTTGCTCTCCTCCGTGGGTGCGGGCGCGAGCGAAAGAGCGCCGAATGATGGACAGCAACATGGGCGCTACTCCCCTTTACTATTGCCTCCGAGCTCCAGGGCACCCTTCGCCGCTGCCGCCCAAGTGAGGCGAGATACACCAGAGGCCTCCAGGGAGCGCAGCCTGCAATACAGTCTGATCCCCGAGGGGCGCGGAGACGGCGCCCAAAAGGACGTGGCTCCCTGCGCGTCCACAGTGAGCCCTCATGCACAGTCCACCGTGAGACATTTCGAGTGCACTGGGGCAGCATCGATATTTCCCGTCATCACGAAGCAGACAGCAGCAGCGGCGGCACACAGCAGCAGCAAGCAGCGGCAGGCAGCGGGTAGAAGCGCGCACCAAGCGGAATTGGCCATCAGCAACATCCTGCAGCCACAGGCAGCAAGAGCACGAAGCAGCGGCCTCAAGCACTACCAAGAGTATACAATGGCGGCAGCAAGCAGCAGCACGCAGTAGCATGCGCAGAATGTGAGGTCAGGCCCCGCAATCAGATGCCAGCTCGTGCAGATTTCGTGGACGGAGTCACCGTCGCCAGCCTCCTTCCGGTGCCCACAGCCCACGCCGACGACGACCACCACCACCACCACCACCACCACCACTACGACAACGACGCCGACAACGACGGGTACAACGGCGGCCTCGTGGCGGCGACGACAACGACGCCGACGATGACGGCGGCCCCGCGACGGCCAAGCTGCTGGAGCGCTGCAAGAGCTCGGACACGAGGTCGTTGCCGCCGCCCCAGCCGCCGAGGTGCTGATGGGTTTTCGGCAAAATCTCCGCCGTTCCTCCGAGAACCATTCCAGAAAGATGTCGTGGACGGAGTCCTCGGATCAGCCCTAGTCTATACTACAATGCCAGGGGCCGTGCGTGCCAGAATGCCGCAGGATCAATGAAGTCAAAATCGCCCTGGGCTGTCCCCAGGCCGCCCAGGGACGCCCAGGGAGGCTCCAAGACACGCCAAGAAGGCCCCAAGAGGCCCAAGCCGGCCCGAGAGGTCTCCAAGGTGCTCCATGAGACCTCCCCAGAAGCTTCCCCAGAGGGCCCCGAGCAAGCAAAAACATATATTGTTCTTGTTTTTGTAATGTCTTTGTCGTTCTAACCTTGTCGGCTTCCAGACGATCCACGACCGCCCAAGACGTCCCATAGACGGCTCGAAGACGGCCGAAGAGACCCCCAACACGGGCCCAAAGGGCCCCAAGTCGGCTCAACAGGCTCCCAGATGGGTCCCAGACGCTCAAGATTGGTCCAAGATTGGCCCAAGCCGGCCCGAGAGGCCTCCAAGGTACTCCATGAGACGTTCCCAGAACCTTCCCCAGAGGGCCCCGAGCACGAAAAAACATAGATTGACATTGCTTTTTGCAGGGTTTCTGCCGTGCTCGCCTTGTTGGCTTCCAGACGGACGATCCACCAACGCCCAAGAGGTTCCCAAGACGGCTCCTAGACGGCCGAAGAGGCTCCCAAGAGAGCCCGAACACGGGCCCAGAGGGTGCCCCAGTCCGCTCAACAGGCTCCCAGATGGCCAGACGCTCAAGATTGGTCCAAGATCGGCCCAAGCCGGCCAGAGGGGTCTCCAAGGTTCTCCATGAGACCTCCCCAGAAGCTTCCCCAAAGGGCCCCGAGCAAGAAAAACCATAGATGTTAATGTTTTTGTTGCATGGTATGCCGTGCTCGCCTTGTCGGCGTCCAAACGATCCACGACCGCCAAAGAGGTTCCCAAGACGGTTCCAAGACGGCCGAAGAAGCTCCCAAGAAAGCCCCAAGACGAGCCCAGAGTGCCCCATGGCGGCCCCACAGGCGGCCAGGACGGCAGCGGAGGCGGCCAGGAGAGGCGCAAACTGCCGCCAAGACGTTTTGCACCCATGCCTCTCTTACTCCCCTGTCCTTTCGCAACAGTTTCTCCCCGCAGGCCTCGGGCAGGCCCTCGAAATCACATGCTGCTGTACCCCAACACACTTCTACAGCCCCAGGGTCAGCTGCCCAGGAGCCGAGACTATGGCCAAGGAAAGACTGGGCCGCCCCTCGGGACAGCCGACGCGCCCCAATTTCTCAAAGGGGGGTTCGATAGAAATCTCATAGGAACAATACGGAATGCGAAGAGGAGGAGGAGGAGGAGGAGGAGGAGGAGGAGGACGAGGACGAGGACGAGGACGAGGAGGAGGAGGAGAAGGACGAGGATGACGAGGATGACGAGGAGGAGGAGAAGGAGGAGGAGGAGGAGGAGGAGGAGGAGAGGAGGCCTGAGGCCGGAGGAGGAGGAGGAGGCCTGAGGCCTGAGGCCTGAGGCCGGAGGAGGAGGAGGAGGAGGAGGAGGAGGAGGAGGAGGAGGAGGAGGAGGAGGAGGAGGAGAGGGAGGAAGAGAGGGAGGAGGAGGAGGAGGAGGAGGAGGAGGAGGAGAAGGAGAAGGAGAAGGAGGAGGAAGAGGAGGAGAGGGGAAGAAGAACAGGAAGGAGGACGAGAACGGAATCGAGGGCGAAGAAGAAGGTGAGGAGGAACAGGAAACGGACGAGGAGGAGGAACCCCGAGAACTGGATGCATCTGGGTCGCTTCTGGGGCTCTCCTGGGGCCATCTTGGGCGTTCTGGGGCCCCCTTGGAGTCCCCTGAGATGCCTCGCGGAGCTCTCCTCGCAGGTCTTGGCGGGCTCATGGGCGATCTTGACGAGGCCGTGCGGGGCCCCCCACGCTCACCCCGGGCGTGCCGGAGGCAGTCTGCCACACAGGGGCCTTCCGTGGCGGAGCGGGGCGCCCGCGCCCGGCGGCGTCCTGGGTTCTTCTCGGTCTCTCCTGGGGCTCTCTTCTGGGGCCTTCTGGGGCCGCTCTCGACACTCTCTCGGCCTCCCTGGGAGGCTCCTGGATCGGGGGAGCGTAAGACCCGGGTTTGCCGGGACTCGGGTTCGCCATCGTTTTTTGACGACCGCGATTCGGATTTTGACGAGGAGGAGTTTCGTGGGATGTCTGCAGCGGGAGGCCTCGTCAAAATGCAGGCTCGGCCTCGTCATTTTTTTGACGACCTCGTCGGGGATTTCCGAGTCCCCCGTACCCGGGTCTTACGTCTCCCCGACTGGAAGCCCTCTTGAAGCAGTTGACCAAAGAAGGGGGGCTCTGCCACCGCCCACGTCCAAAGCGGGGCGCTGCTGGAGAACGGGCTCACGCCATGTGGATCGCCTTTCGGCAGCGTTTCCGCCGCTCCCACCCAGAACCATTTCGGCAAGACGTCGTGGACGGAGTCCACGGGTCAGCCCCAGTCTATACTCTAACGCCGGGGGAGCCGCGTGCCAGAACGGCGGGGGACCCAGTGTGGCAAAACCGCCCTCGGGCGGGCCCCGGGCCGCCCCAGGCCGCCCAGGGAAGCCTCAAGACGGGCCAAGGGGACCCCAAAACGCCCCCAAGACGGCCCAAGAGTGCCCCGAGACGCCCAATGATCGGGCCCAGACGCCCAAGATGACCCAAGGACTGCCCAAGAGGTCTCCAAGACGCCCCAAGAGGCCTCCCAAGAGGGTCCCGAGAGGCAAAAATCGTTGAATTCCATTGGTGTCTATGTTTTTTTGCGGTCTCTCTTTGTCGGCTTCCCGACGCTCGAAGACCGCCCCAGAGGTCCCCAAGACCGCTCCAAGACGGCCGAAGAGGCCCCCCAAGAGAGCTCCAAGATGGCCCGAGAGGGCCCCATGACGGCCCAAGAGGCGCGCAGGAGAGACCAAAATGCCACCTAGAAGGCCTCAAGAGAGGCCCAAGAGAGGGACCACAACTAAAATATCCAGCTATCCGCCCTCAGAAGGCCCCAGGAGACCCCAAGAGGCATCCAGGAGGCCCCACGGGGCCCCCGACGGGCCCCCAAGAGGCTCCCAAGAGACTCCCAGAGGCTCCCAAACGGCTCCCAGGAGGCCCTACGAGCCTTCCGAATTGCTACCACGAGAGAGGTGCTCACGAGAGGCGAGAGGTGTCTCTCAGGCCCAAAGGAGCCGTCTTGGACGACACTGCGAGGGCCTTGGATGTTTGTCTTCTCGGAAGCTTCGTACGGCGCAAGCAATCGTCAAGCAATCCAGCATGCAGTGCGCACGCTGGAAAACGTGGACAAAGTCTACGGGTCAGCCCTAGTCTCTTCTACAATGCAGCGATCTTTGCGTGCCAGAAGGTCCTCTGTCTTGAAAGGTCAGCCGGGCTCTCCAGGCCGCCCTGCGAGCCCCCGGGCCGCTCCGAGACGGCTCAGAGACGCCCACGAGGGAGCCCAGACAGACCAAGTGGGACCCAACCGAGCCCCAGGTCGGCCCCAGAGGCCTCCAAGGCAGGCCAGGAGGCTCCCAGGGCGGCCCAAGGGGACCCCCAGGAGGGACCCAAGAGGCAAAAATTGCCCCCTTCCCTTCGGAGAACGTACATGTTTGATATGCTCGCTCTTTTCGTCTTCACCGCGTCCAAGACGGCCATACAGGCCTTCCCGATCGCCCCAAGGCGCCCCCAGAGCACCCCAGGAGGGCCCCAAACGGCCCGAGGCGGCCCCGCGACGGCTCCAGAGACGCCCCAGAC